AATGCAGCAGGGGAGCATTCCCGTATTGAGGTGTGAACAGTAGCAAGTGAGCAGAGGAGGACCAACAGAAGCGAGGCAAATGGAGGCAAAAGAACCAACTCGCTCGCACTTCCATTCCACCTCCCTAATACACCGCGGTCGTCGCGTGCTGTCGTCGTGCTGTGCTCCGAATCCCCATGCTCAGTGGTCGGCTTCGCTGACTAGGCCACGTGACGAGCGCAGCAGTTCTCGCTTCCTGCATAAATTAATAAATACAAAATCTGGAGCTGTCTATTTCGCAGAAAACTTGGAAATTGAATGGGTATTTTCGTTGGAGACATGAATCGTAGAAGTTTGGGCAGACTTTTTCATAAGTAACAAAGGTTTCGCGATATATGGAAACCCTGAATTTTGTGGCATTGCACTGTATGCAAAGCGTGCAGAGTGGTCGAGCAAAAATATGGCGGCTAGCGGCGCGAACGTGACGAGACTGCTGCTCTGCTGCACACCTCTTTTGTTAGTCGCACGTTGCTGGGGAAGGCATTGCATTGCGATGCAATGGGGGAAACTGTTAAGGGCGGCTTTGGAGGAAAGCATGGGGGGGGGGGGGGGGGGGCGGGGGGGGGGGAAGTGGGGGGAGCATGGACTGGCGGGAAATCCTACATGGAGGATGACATGGCTCCCTCCCTCATCCATCCTTGCCCTATCACTCGCCAATTGCACCGCGCAGCCGCCAAGAAGAGTGATGGCGTGCACCATCGGGCAGAGTATATCAACAGGCGAACAGAACACAGAGCAAGCCACCATTTTCTTTTTCGTTCTTGAGTTGTTCTTTCTTTGGTTGCAGAAACCTGCACATCCATCCGCCATTCCTGAACCTATCACCTCAGCTTTGCTCAAGGCGCCCCAGAGCTTCCCAAATTACCTCGCTCCATCACTCGCTGCACATTCTAGCTGCTGTCCAAGCGAGGGACTATTGCCATGGCGCCGGCACTCAAGCAGTGGATGAAGTTTAAGGAGCCCATGGTTTTGGTGCAGTGTGCGATTGCGGAGCTCCTCGGGACTATGTTCTTCGTGTTCCTTGGCTCTCTCTCGGTCTCCGTTTCCAGTAAGTTCTCTCACATTCGCTGCGACTTTTCTCGTCTTAGTTTCTTCTCTTCGCTTTGGGAACGTTGCTGGTACGTTGCCTGTGACTCATCCGCGGGTGGGTAACCAATTCGATTTTGGAATAACATGGGGACGAAATATGTCTGTTAGCGGTGAAATGTCCCGTCATCCACTATTCGCACTTGTCCTCGGTATGTTTGAATGCAGCTTTTTCTCGCGCATATTCGCATTTAGTTTATATGAAGGGGTACTGAACCTTGTACCGCGTTTCTTTTCTTTGCAGGCCCATTCACCCTGAACGAGCCTCTGACTCGCGTGATCGTCATCGCCTTGGGTTATGGCCTTGGCTTGGCGCTCGCTGTTTCGGCAACGGCCGGCGTCTCTGGCGGCCACATCAATCCGGCCGTCTCTATCTGCCTGGCAGCCGTCGGCCTCGTCGACGTGCTATCCGCGGTCGTCTACATCGTTGCGCAGATTGTGGGAGCCATCTTCGGCGCGGGACTCGCTAAGGCTATCGTGCCTTCTGCTGTCAAGGTGCGTTATTGGCTCGGCAGCAATCAATATCGTGAGGTGTCATTTCCCATGTTCTTACAAGCGTTTCTTCCATTAAAGTTTTAACTCCCTTTTCTTTTACCGCTCATATTTCTTTTCCACGACAGGGAATTCTCGGCCAAACGGTGCCGGGCATTGCAACTTCAACCGGCCAGGCTTTTCTGGCAGAGATGCTGTTCACCGCGATTCTCGTCTACACCATTTTCGCCTGCGCCGTCGACCCCAGAGGCCCTGGCGCGCTCGCACCCCTTCTGATCGGCTTATCCGTTCTTATCGACAATGCCGTGGGTGTGCCTCTAACGGGGGCGTCCATGAACCCTGCCCGCTCGTTCGGACCCGCAGTTTGGTCGGGTGTGTGGACGGACCAATGGATTTATTGGATTGCCCCGATCCTTGGCGCGCTTCTTGTGGCGATTCCTTACACGGGGATTTACCTCATGCCTCTCGCCAAGAACGGGGGCGACGACGGCGAAACCAAGGACGACGTTTAGAGCGTGAGCAGAATTAGCCAACGTCGGGGTGCGGTTCAGAGCGGTGTGCGCGAATGCTTCCGCGCTGTTGTGCACTTGAAAGAGTCGATTTCTCGTTGAGGTGAATTCGAGCGGGCAGTTGGTTGTTTTTTGGAGAATTTTAGTCTTTGTGCTTAGCTGATAAACCCGAAACACTGGGTACGATACGAGGTTGGGCTCCGCATTGCCTCCACTCAGGGCGAGCCCGCGAACGGGTTCCCATTGGAAGAGGTCGTAGGAGGAACACGCTTTTGGTGCCTAGGCTTGTGTTCTAGTTACCATTTTTGTGTTGTGGGGATTCTGATGTCTCGTCAGTACCGTTTTGTCTTCGGCAAGCAAGGCTTTTGGAAGTCAATACCGTTTTCCAGCAGGAATGTATAACGGTGCTCATTATTAGGGGACTAGATAGTATGTAGTGACACTATATCAACAATCAGAATTAGCTAGCTTGCAACATGTTCCATCAGTTGGGTGTTAACTAGAAAATGATGATTACAATGAGAGATACAAGGTGCTTTTGTGCTAAGGGGTTGTACTGTTATGAAATAATCAGAGTAATAACAGGTAGTGTAATAAGAGTCGTGATTCAAGAGTTGTCAATACAAATGAGGACCTAGGCATTTATAGGCACAACAGGGCTAGCTGAGAACCTCGCAAACAGGTTAGGGCGATTCGGCTGGCGAAAGCCACGGAGGCGCCGCGCATTAGGTTTGGGTTTACGAAATGGTTCGGGACCGAGGAAAATGGCCGGGCCTGGTCTTCCGAGGGTCAAAGGCGTACGCACTGTAGTTGAGCTCAGTAAGGAAAAGGAATTTTCCTTACACCACCCCCCCTTCTGGGATGAGACTCTTAGAAACTTAGGACTAAAGGTTCTTAAACTTAGGAGGCTAGGTTGGCTAGGATACTAGGAAGAAGACCGCCATGGAATGGCGTGAGGAAAAACGGATCTAAGAGGTGAGAGGATGTCGAGAAGAAAGGTGGTTGGATTAGGAAGAGAGGGGAGTACAAGGAGGGGTTTGTACCCCCTACAGAAAGGTTCAGTAACAACCTACCAAGCCTATATTAAATTATAACTTATATAATTTTAACACACCCCCTAGGCTTGGTAGTGTCAAGCCCACGCACACCCCCACACCCACACCCACACCCACACCCCCTAGCCCAGCACCCCCATTCCCAGCAGGAGCCGCAACGACTCCGGAAGAGGGTAGGTCTCACGGCCCCTTGAGACGGCAATGGCGGCAGCAGCGACAGTGACGACGGCGGCGGCGGCGGCGGTGTGCGGCGGCTCCAGGCCTGCGGCAACAGCGGCGGCGCCGGCGGCTCGAACGACAGAGGCTGGTGCGGCGGCCCCCGCCCTCTCGGCGGCATGTCCTGTCTCCTCGGCGGTGGAGAGGTCCCTCACATGGCAGTCATCGGCTGCAGCAAGAAAGGGGGGGATGCAGGGGAAGCAGGTGCAGGTGGGGGGGGGGGAGGGGAGGGGGCGGGGCGAGGCGAGTCTTCAGCGACGCGCCATAAGTGGCGCGGCGCTTACTGGCAGGAGGGCGGGCAGGTGGCGGTTACGACGGCGTGCTGCCCGCTGCCGCCCATCCACGCTGCCGCGGCAGCATGACGACGCCGCCAGGGCGCGGCGTCGACGCTGTGGCGGCACGCCGACGCTGCAACGGCAGCTAGGTGACGCTGCCACGGCAAAGCGTCGACGCAACCGGCTGCGGCCCGACGGCGCCGTCGACGCTGCAGCAGGACGTCGACGTCACGACGGCAGAGGCAGCGTCGATGCCGCAGCGGGACGTCGACGCTGCGACTGCAGAACGACGGCCCGACGCCACGGCAGCGCGTCGAGCCGGTCGCGGCACGACGCGGCCAGTGGCAGCGCGACGTCGCCACTGCAGCAAAACGCGGCCGCCATGGCCGCTCGAGCTAATGAGAGCGAGGAGTAAATTGCGGAAGCGTGAGGAGGCGATCCAACAGGGAGGATCTCCTACTCTGATACCATCTTAGAAACTTAGGACTAAAGGTTCTTAAACTTAGGAGGCTAGGTTGGCTAGGATACTAGGAAGAAGACCGCCATGGAATGGCGTGAGGAAAAACGGATCTAAGAGGTGAGAGGATGTCGAGAAGAAAGGTGGTTGGATTAGGAAGAGAGGGGAGTACAAGGAGGGGTTTGTACCCCCTACAGAAAGGTTCAGTAACAACCTACCAAGCCTATATTAAATTATAACTTATATAATTTTAACAGAGACTACCCACATCCGGGACACGTCGTCGGTGTAAATAGTCCCTGACAACTTTGTGTTCACCGAGCATAGCTGCGGGGACCCAGAGGTCGTCATCAGTCGTGCGATCGACCCATCGTACAAGGAAATCAATGGCTGCTGTATCGCGAGAACCTCGTACGCGATGAGCGAGAATTTTCGATGGCTCGATCGTCGGCTCGGGTACTGGGTTGACCGTAGGATTGATATGTTGACGGTCGAGATCACTTGTATTCAGGACGAACGGTCGCAGGAGACTGACGTGGAATGAATCATGAATGCGCCAGTCGACCGGTAGTTGCAGCTGGGCGGTGACGGGAGTCACCATGCAAATTATGCAGAATGGGCCGCAAAATCTTGGTCGTAGTTTATTTGGGAGGGGAATCCCCAAATTTCGAGTGTCGAACAGGACCAATTGCCCAGGGGCAAAGTTTAAGTCACGGCGTCGTCGGTCAGCTTGCTGCTTAGCCCGTTGGTTGGCTTTGAGAATGGCATCGGCGGCTTTTTGCTGAGACTGTCGGAGGTTTTCGACGAACTGCTGCGATCTGGGTGCCGGATTTTCGATCGGTGGCGATAGAGGGGTTGTCGGGTCTATCCCGTAATTAAGGAAGAACGGGGACTGAGTAGTCGTGACTCATGGGGCGTTGTTGTACGCAAACTCGATCTGTTGAAGAGAATCTTCCCACTGGGCCGGGTCTGTGCACGTTGTACGAATCAGTTGCTCCATCGTCTGATTGGTGTGCTCAGTGTGGCCGTCCGATTGAGGGTGGTATGCCGTGGACAGATGCAGACGTATGCCGTACTGCTGCCAGGTTTTTGTCCAGAAATTGGACGTGAACCGAGGGTCGCGATCGCTGATGATTGCCGAAGGGATGCCGTGTAGCCGTACGATGTTCGTGAGAAACAGCTTCGCTGTGTGCTCGGCAGTGATTGTCGTCTTGCAGGCGGCGAAGTGTGCCATTTTGATCAAACGGTCAACGACGACGAGAATTGCGTCATAACCGCTGGGACCAGCTGGCAGGCCAGTGACGAAATCCATCATCACTTGTTGCCAGGGTCGGCTGGGTGGCTCGAGCGGCTGCAGTAATCCCGCAGGTCGAAGTCGTGACGACTTCATGCGTTGACACGTGGCGCAGGAGGTGACGTACTGCTGCACGTCCGTCGGCAAATCGAGCCAGTAATAATTACGGCTCAGTAGTTTGGCAGTTTTGTCGATGCCGTAGTGACCTGAGAAATTCGAGTCGTGTGCCTCCTGTATCAGTAGCTCGCGTAGGGTACGGTAAGCGGGAACCCAAATCCGATTGGAACGGATTTTAGGTAATAAGCCCCCTGCTTGACTGTCAGTTGGGGATGACTGTTAGTCGTGAAGAATGGGTCGGTACTGTATCCGTGGGTAAATAGTCCAGTTAGCAGCGGATTGGTTTGGGTGATTAGGACAGCGGCGGTATGTACTGAAGGGCGGGTCAGTGCGTCGGCGATGTTGCTGGCCCCTCGTTTGTAGGTGACTCTGTAGTGGAAATTCGACTCGAGATAATCGAGCCAGCGAATCTGTCTGGGGTTGAGTGTCGGTTGGGCGCGGATGAACTGTAGCGATTTGTGGTCTGTTCGGACTGTCACATCAGCGCCCGTCAGGTAGCAGCGCCAAACCTTGAACGCGTAAACGATGGCGAGTAACTCCTTGTCGTGGACGGGATAATTTCGCTCGGCCGGATTCAGCTTTCGTGACTCGTAGGCGATGGGTTGAAGGCCTTCGCCGAAGTCCTGTAACAGTACTGCGCCAACAGCCAGGTCACTAGCGTCGGTGATGAGTTCGAACGGACGATGAGGATCTGCAATGCGAAGAACCGGAGGTGTTGTCAGGAAAAGTTTGAGTTGGTCGAACGCAGCCTGCTGCTCTCCCCCCCACTCATAAAACGTGCCTTTCTTCAGAAGATCCGTGAGAGGGGAAGTTACCCCCGCCATGTTCGGGATAAATCGGCGAACGTAATTCAAAAACCCCAGGAAACTTTGAAGTTCGCGGAGATTAGCCGGCGGCTTCCAGTCTTGTATGGTCGCGATTTTTTTCGGGTCGATTTTAATACCGTCGATGGAAATAACGTGTCCCAAAAACTCCTGTTCTTGTTTCAGAAACTCGCACTTAGAACCCTTGGTGATGAGTCGATGCTGCTGCAGGAGAGCGAAGACTACTTCCAAATCCCTCAAATGTGCTTCCCGGGTAGTGCTGTATATCAGGATGTCATCGAGGTACACAATGACGCATTTATCCAGCAGCGGCCGAAAAATTTCGTCCATGGTTAACTAGAATGTTGAAGGCGCGTTGGTTAAGCCAAAAGGCATGACCGTGTACTCGTAACTCCCGTATCGGGTTCGAAACGCCGTCTTGTAGCAGTCAGCTTCGTTGACACGGATCTGGTGGTAACCGCCTCGCACGCCAATTTTCGAAAAGAACTTTGCCCCACGAAGTTGGTCGATGAGTTCGTCGGCACGCGGAATAGGATAGCGAGACTTGATGGTAACCCGGTTCAAGGCGCGGTAGTCAATGCACATTCATAGTCCGCCATCTTTCTTCGGGGTGAACAGTATCGGAGCTGCGAACGGTGAAGTACTGGGGCGAACAAAACCTTTCTCGAGCAGGTAATCCAGTTGGCGTCGAAGTTCATCCAGCTCTGGTTGACTCAGCCTCCACTGTGTCCGAACCGTCGGTTGCGCGCCAGGCTCCAACTGGATTTTATGGTCGTGGTCTCGCTCGGGTGGCAATCCTGGCGGTAGGTCGTCCGGAAAGATGTCGGCATGCTTGCGGATCAATGTCGCCAAGTCGTCAGGGACTGCCGCACAGAGTTTGTCGATGTCGGCCGGTGCGCTGGTAGACGTGGATGTGATCCATCTGACGGCGTACAGTTGTGCCCCGCGAATCATTGCTCGCTTGATGGTAACCGCGCCGACTGTCGCAGAATCTGGATTGTTCCACTTCGGAAGTCGTCGCCACTCGCCACTCCATTTGATTCGACAGTCACCCGTCCGCCAATCGATGCTCGGGTTGTACTCGCGCAGCCGATCGCGTCCCAGCAGCATGTCGCAGCCGTCCAACGTTGTCGCCA